CAACGTAGCTCTAGACAAACAACATGGAACGAGTCCAACGTCGCGCACTTCGTATCATCTCTTGCGGAGGGAGACGCGACGTACCAGCTCTACCCTCTCTAAAGGAAAGGAGAGAGTCTGCGGCCGTGTCCCCTGTTCAGGTCGATGCTAAATCCCGAACACCCACTACACGACCTGGTGCCCCCCCCAGAGAGCAACTGCTACCGGCAGGATCCTAAGGAACAGCCAGGCCATGAGTGCTCCCAGGGCCAGGACAAAGCGGCTCCAGCAGTCCTTTCTCCACAGGGCCATAGCCCTATACAACGAAGAACTGACGTATCACTAGTTTTATTTTTCCTAAACCTCATCTGTATATAGTTTTTTGCTTGGTACAAATTCTTTATGTATTATAGTGTATATGAGGGTGTGTATATAGTGTTTGTTTTGCCTATTGTAACTTTTATTTTCTGTACGCAAACTCTTTCAATTCAGGGATTCTCATCCCTGTTGCAAGGTTTGCTTTTGGTGTTGAAAATAAAACTATAATAATAATTTGTAGTTATTGTTGGGTTTGATTTCTTTTCCGTGTGCAGTGGAGTATGAAATGGCCGACATTTTGCGAGATATATGAATTGGGAGGTGTTAATAGTAATGCAGTTTTTTTTTTTTGTGGGCTCTGGGAGGGTGAATAAAGCTGGGGAACATTTTGGTGACCATTTGTTTAACCATGGTTTAACAAGGTTTAAAATCCTTGTTATCACCGAGGAAAAAAGTCACAAAATTGATAATTGGGCGTAGCTGCTAGTATGTTTATCTTTCTCGACCAATCACAACGTTGAATCAGTGTGATTGACACATGACAGACAAGACTATACTAGTATGTCCTTCTTGCGTGTTGTTTTGTCTTCCTCGACCAATCACCACGTTGAATCTGTATGATTGACACACGACAGACAAGACTGGAACTGCTATAAAACAAAGCCTGTAAATTTAAAGTACTTGCGACAGTTGCGACAGACATCTTTCGCGTAATACTCGCTAGTACTAAACCAACATGTCTTCTGACAAGAACCTGCGTCGATGGTTCAGAAGCTCTATTAGCAGCCAGTTGGCAAACTTGAGGAAAGCCAAGAAGAATGGGTTGGTTTCCTTCACTGTAACTTCGGATCCGGAAGGAAACTTCATCTTTATCGGCGCCCCTTCCACGCGCAGCGAGCTGCAGACTCTCTTGGAGCCAATTGAGGAGGCCCTGAAGCGACGCAGAAGGAGGATTCAAGGTAACCACCTGTTAATTTATCTAACAAGCAAATTTTCTAGCTTATAACTAAAAGGAATGCAGATTGTGTACGATAATATTTTGCTTATTATACAGTACTAAACTAAGAATTACAAATACATCCCATACAGTACTAAACTAAGAATTACAGATACATCCCGTCCCGTCCTGTTCGGAAATGTATTGTGAGCCTAAAACGTTTCTAATTTGCATTCTATTTATCTAATTTTTCTAAATACAATGTTCTCTTTTCAGCTTCCCCAACTCTGGATGAGGACGAGGACATCGTCGTGTCTACATCGCTACAGAAACCCACAGTGCCTGTCTCGGTGACAAACGAGGAGGCCAGGAGGTTGCTGCCAAGGTGGCTCAGGGCACTGACGCCGGATGGGCAGATGGGATACGGGAAAGCGTCCCATCGCCCGTCCTTCTGGCCAGCAGACGTGCCCTGGGTCGGCAAGATAAAGAACCTGTCCACGGCACATCTGAGGGAGGCCACGGCTGCGGTCGTCATCCACGTTGGGGAAGACCCAGAGAGTTTCCACGCCGGCGACACCAGAGACCGACACGCCGGCGGCACCAGAGACCGACACGCCGGCGGCACGAGTATCCTAAACCCATGGTCGCGCTCGACGCCGGTGCTGGAGGAGTCTTTCTCTGACTCATCCACGAACTCTTCTCTCGCTTCCTCACCACCTTCAAATTCTCCCCTTACTTCTCCCCATCTAACTACACTTCGTCCCGTTGAGTTATCTTTCATCTCACCCCTTTCATCTCCTGAACCGGCGTCGAAGAAGCGGACCATGGGGGGGGGAAAGACAAGGAAAACAGCAAGAGGTGGGATTTACATATACTTACTACATGTATTAACAAGCTATTGTATTTTTCAAATTCAGTTTCCGTGACAAATAGGTGTTTCTTGTTTAACAAGGTTTCTGATGTAAAAATTTGAAAATGTAGGAATCTTGTTTTTTGACATGTGCATTGCCTTTCCAGCACCAAGAG